AGCGAAGACCTGAGCCAAAGAGCCGTGGCAAATCGATTAAATTTAAGCCAATCTGCTGTGTCCCGAGTGTATCGTCGGTACCAAGATACTGGTGATTATATCCGCCGACAAAGAGGAGGTCGTAAGCGAATAACAACAGAGAGAGATGATCGATTTCTTGTATCTAAATCTCTGAGAATTTGACTGGTGCTAATCTCAAAGAAGAGCTTAGAGAGGTCCGAGGTGTGGTTACCAGCGTTTGGACAGTCAGAAGGAGACTGAAAGCAGCCAAACTGACGCCAAAAAGGGCAACTACTGGTCCCAAGCTAACTGCAGATCAGAAGCAAAGACGACTATAATTTGCTCGCGAACATCTGGATTGGGACGACTATCAATGGAGTCAGGTATTATTCTCGGACCAAGTAGTATATGCCTACATGGCAACTACAAGAGGCGTCGAGTCTATAGAAGGCCGGGGAAAGGATTTGCTCAATATTGTATACGAAAAATTGTGTCATATGGAGGCGGTTCTTGTATGTTTTGGGTAGGCATTTCCATGTATGGGAAAACCCAGCTGGTTTTCCCATATGCCTTTATTTTATTGCATGGTAATGCACGATGTCATATAGCACGAGTCACTATCTGAGATCGATATACCTACAATAAATTGGCCTTCGTTGAATCCGGACATAAATCCAATAGAGCATGTTTGGGATGAGCTTAAACGAAGGGTCCGGAGTAGAAATCATGCACCAGGGAGCATAATGGAATTGAGAGCTGCGCTTACTGATGAGTGGTTTCAAGAATTTATTAGAAAAGTCATCCGATCCATGCGAAATCGATTGGAAAGTGTAATTTAGGGGTGGTAATATCAGATACTAAAAAACAAAAAAATTCATTTTGTAATTGATGATTTCTCTGTTCATTACGTCTTTCTTGGGATAGTTCCAATGATGAATATTTGAGAAACTCTGTTCGTATTTCATATTGTTTTTATAAAGCGTCTTCCAAATAATGAAATGGAATTTTTTGTAAGTTCAATAATAAAGTTACTGTTTGCACATTATATCTTATTATTTTCATACTTCTTACATTAAAACAGGTGTAATCTCAAATATCGCTTTTGAGTCGATTGTTTTGCCACTCAAGTGTATAACTATATTTTTATTACACAGTTGAATGTTTTCTTGTGGAATGTGTAGTATAAACAAAGACACGAAATTTTATACATGGGCCAGGGGCGTACCAAAAAAATTGTATACCTTAAATATTCGTTAGTTATAGGGAGTTTATACATACTACAATCTGGACCCACAGCTTTTCCTGTTATTGTTAGTTTAATGGCATTTTCCATCTCCTCTGTTGATCCCGAGCACGCTTCTGTTATGCCGGGTTGCATGTTGTTATCTCACACGTTATGCAACAATAATTATTGACGAACAAGCCGCCTACGTAACCAAAGATTTTTTTAAAAAAGCGTATATCCTAACGTATAGGTAAAATATGTTTAGAGTCCAGGGTTATACGGTTTTTATCTTAATACTTAAAAATTCAGGGTACCGAAATATATATATATATATATATATATATATATATATATATATATATATATATATATATATATATATATATATATATATAGGTATTATACATTAAAAATTATGTACCAGAAGTCCTTCCGGAAGAGGTAGAATCGACAATTTCAAAAATGAAAAGCGGTAAAGCAGCTGGAATTGATGGCATAACAGTGGAACTGCTTAAATACGCTGGCAAAAAGACGTGGAACATCTTAGTAGGTGTATTTACGAACTGTCTAAGATCAAGATGCATACCAGACCACTGGAATACAGCAAACATAATTTTGATCCATAAGAAAGGTAATAAAGAGGAGATTAAAAACTACAGACCTATAAGTCTACTACCAATCATATACAAGATATTCACAAAAATCATCAACAACAGATTAACAAATGCATTAGATGCTGCACAGCCAAGAGAGCAAGCTGGCTTCAGAAGTGGATTCAGTACCATGGATCATATCCATACGCTTCGAGAACTAATGAGTAGAGCTAAAGAATATGAAATACCGCTAGCATTAACCTTCATAGATTTCGAGAAGGCTTTCGATTCTATATATCCCAAGGCAGTAATAGAAGCTTTGACCAACCAAGGCATTGACAAACCTTACATAGAAACTTTAGCAAATATATACAGACAAGCAAAAGCTAAGGTAAAAATTTATGAAAACACTCCAGAATTTCCCACTACTAGAGGCGTCCGACAAGGAGACTCTATATCACCAAAGCTCTTCACTGCAACTCTAGAAAATATATTCAGCAAAATGAACTGGCAAAACAAAGGCCTATGCATTGATGGAGAATACCTCAACCATCTAAGATTTGCAGACGACATCGTTCTAATTGCTAAAAATCCTGCAGAACTACAAGAACTTATAAGCGACCTAAATGCAGCTAGCAATGAAGTTGGCCTAAAAATGAACTTGACAAAAACAAAAACCATGTACAACGAGCTAGTGGATGTCCAAGATGTAATAATAAATAATACTGCACTGGAGACAGTAGACGAGTATATATACCTGGGACAATTAATACATAAATCTGGCTCATTACTCCCAGAAATCAACAGAAGAATGAAACTGGCTTGGGCAGCTTTTGGTAAAAATTCAGTTATATTCAAATCTTGGATGCCACTCCACCTGAAGAAAAAGGCATTCGATCAATGTATACTACCAGTCATGACATACGGCTGCGAAACTTGGACACTAAAGAAAGATATAATAGCTAAACTCAAAGTCACTCAAAGGTCAATGGAGCGATGCATGTTAGGTATAACCAAGAGAGATCGAAAAAGAATAGAATGGATCAGACAGAAAACGAAGGTCACTGATGTAATCCACCGAATAAAATCTTTAAAATGGCAGTGGGCGGGACATTTAGCAAGAAGAACTGACAATAGATGGTCCACTAGAATTACTCTGTGGTATCCAAGAGGCGTCAAGAGACCAAGAAGACGTCCAAATTTAAGATGGGACTATGACATAAGGAAACAAGCCGGTACAACATGGCACAGAAAAGCGAATATTAGACAGTCGTGGGCAGACATGAAGAACGACTATGTAAGGGAGGCTGCACCATAATTGGTAGAATACGCTGATAATGATGATGATGATGATGATATATATATATATATATATATATATATATATATATATATATAATATATATATATATATATATATATATATATAATATATATATATATATATATATATATATATATATATATATATATATATATAATTGTGATATTTAAAGTCTTGGTGCGCCAAACAATTAATTAGCTAATTAATTAATTAATTAATTAAAATTATTTAAATGATATGATTATGACTCTATCACACTTTTTAATTCTCTTATCTCAGGGTTAAATTCGTGCTTCAATATCTATGCTTCACATGTGAAAGGTAAGGTCCAAAGAATACCGGAATAATAAAAAACACATATGATATAACACTATATATTGAAATAAAAATAATGAAATAAAATTCACACTCAAATGTTTTCAATAAACAATATCTCATATAATGATTCTTAAAATTTTGTTCTACGTACGTGAACCTCCAAAATTAATGGTATAAACAATATTAGTTAAAATCTCAAAATCCCAATTATTATTCTAAATCTCCTAATCAAAAATTTATATCTTTTCTAAAGTAATTGTAAAAATTGTGTTATCAATAAAAGAAAACTGCAGAAAAACAAAACGATCTCTCTCTGATGATGAGTGGTCCAAATCGTTGTTCCTGGTAGCCTATATTATCTATTCTTAGCAGCTCCCTAGGTAATCAGCAATCTTACAACAAATTGTTGCAAGTATATCGTCCTTAATGATCTCCTTCAAAAGCACGAATCATTCAAATTATGATAGCCTTTCTCCTCTCGATAAACTGAATCTCTCGTTGGCCCGAGTGAAAAATGACTCTTGGAATATCTTCTCTTTACGATAAACTGAATCTCTCGTTGGCCTGAACAGTGACTCTTGGAATATAAGTAGAAAAATATGACTTACAATATTTTGCTGCTTCAGCTTCTGTCAGATACACTAACTCCACAAAAACTCACTAACATTCAACACTACTGCTTGCTACCTCTCGGGAACCACCAGAGAACAATGACTGTTCGTCTTACACACTTGGAAAACCAACTGACTATCTTTTCTTTCTTCCCAAACTAACCTCTCATTCTCCAACCAATCATCCCACCTTTTTCAATTTCATCCAATCAAAACGCGTCATCCATCTCCCATTTCTTCATTTCGATAACAAACAAATTTTTACCTATAATTATAAAATTTCCTAAAACTTATTTACAAATAATATTTTTCTACAATTCTTAAAAACTAACAAAAACCTATCTTTCTAAAATCTATTCTATTGTCCTAATCACTGCACTAATGTATTTGGAAAACCCGGTTCAATTGTCTTTTATTTCACTTAAGCTTATTCACGTCATACAAATATATTTTAACAAAGAAAATAATTTATGCATATCTTACGTTTTGTTAAATACAGGTAATCCAAAATTAAAAGACTTTCATTCTTCGAAATGTTTGTAGTTTATTGTTTGACTTATCTGAATTATTTTAATGTTTTTGAACTTTGAAATATTTTAAGCAAACCAATATTTTTCTCGATTTTACATATCATAACTATATATATATATATATATATATATATATATATATATATATATATATATATATATAACAAGTAGAAATAGAATTATCAGGTATAGTGGTCTCTATTAAAAATCTTTCTTTTTTCTAACGAACTCAATATTTCGCTATTTATTTGATAGCTTCATCAGGAGTACACTGTAAAACAATTTTGATATTACAAAAATGGCGTACAAATACATTTAAAAAACTTACAGAAATAGAAAGGCATGTCTAAAATTAACTGGAAAATACAAAGGTGTTATATGTTTATTTCTGTTCACTAGGGGGAAGAGTACGAGATTGTTTAGACAATCCAAGTGATATTCAAGCTTTATTTCAAGAGTTAGAATCACTTAGTTGTGACGACGATTCTGGAGAACCTGATACTATATCTATAACAAGTACTCCTAAACCGAGTTTACGTCCATTTTTTAGTAGTAGTCGAAGTCTTCTAGATAATAATTCTTTACATTTTACGGAATCCGACAAAGCTGAAGACAATTCTTTTTCAGGTAAGTGAATACAAATAATTGAATCCAAAACATTCACTAACAAAACCTAATAATATGCTACCATATTATATATTATTTATATCTGTTATATTAGTGAATTTCTCGTTATTTTAGCATACTCTAGCTAGATATCGTCTTTTAAATAAGCGTTGTTGTTTCAACTTTTCTCTGAAAATTTTGCCTCGCAAATCTTTGTATACTTCATCTAATTTAGATAACGACTTACGTCATTATCTACGTCAGAGATCGAAGTTGACATAGTTGCCAAAGTATAAAAAAATCCTGACTCCATCAAATAGATCACATAATTATTGCAAAAGTATTACCATCTCTTTACAACGACTATTTAAATTCTTACGTGACATTTTTGAAATAAAACAAACTAATTTTGTTCTAAAAAGAACAGACTTTATTAAATAGTTGAAAATATAAAAAAAGAGATATTCACTTTAAAATTCAAAATAATGATGTACAAAAAGTGTCAACACCGCAACTGTCAAATAAGTGTTACCAATTTATGCCAAAGTTTCACCTTCGTTCGATTACAGTTACAGTGTGTTCCGAACAAATATTCTTGATAAAAACGCTTTATAATGCATTTATACAAATTAAATGAAACATATTATTATGTATTTCTTTAAGTTAATATTAATAGAAATTTTTAAATATTATTTCTATGCGTATATAATAAAATATGTCTAGTGGCTTTAATGCCAGTGTACTCGGTAAAGTGATTCTAAAAAAGAACACACCTATACCCTAAATATTTCGTGTTGGTATCATGTGACGTCACAGGCTATGACGCCGATGACGTGCATCGTTATATAAATTAGATGAAGTGTAGAAATACCTACATCTCAAATAGTAGTGCGCACTGAATATCGTAACTATGTGCATGGTATTGCACATGTCTATGTGCAAGTCGCAAATACTTACAAAGGTGATGAACTCAAAATTGCACTGAAAGATGGACTTCCCATAATCAGGTTATGGAAGGTAATCGCAGTAAATAGCACATCTTACATCGAGTGAACTAAAATTCAAAAGATGGTAAGGCTAGGCATATATTTGGATGTCACCATCTAAAGCAGAGCTCCCTCTTAACCCATTCATATCACTCCTATCCGCTTGTACTGCGTTAAATGCTGCCAGAATAGATACACCCCGAAAGGCAGTTCCAATGCCCTACCTAATGGCAATATCGCAAATTTTCCAACTACCTCACACCCCAAAAACCTAGGTGTCCCAATTGTAGTGGCAAGCATGCGGTTTACTCAGCCAAGTTAAAAAGAAGACACCAAAGACTTCTCAAGAAACCCAACCCGTCTTCGACATGAAAACTGGTACAACTCACTACCTTAATACTGATTAACCTATTTTATGACCATAGCAAGCTGGTACTTCACACTACATGTTCGGCCGTAAGACTATGCTAGTTGCTCACAGCAACAGGTCGACAATTCTCTTCCCCCTCAATAAACACTGACAAATAGATGGGGTAAATTAACAGGGCGTCACGAGAAAACGTCCTTCATTAAACACATCCTTGAAAAACACAACATCAAATCCTACCTCCCATCGAAGTCCTTTCAAAAACAAATCCATCCATTATACGATACTCCACAATCCATCATACTCGCTATCAAATATTTCAGGGTTTAACATCTTTATCAAATATGATATTAAATTATTCTCACACAATATGATATCCATGTAAGGAACAACTAGACACTTACTATAATGTAAAAGTTTTATTTAAAAATCCTTTATAAGAGGTATATAATTAAATAGACCCTCTCGGGCTACATCACAGAACGTTTTTGAGCTAAAGTATTAGCAGGTATTAACACATGAGTGTATTAACAGGTGGACGTGAGTCAAGCCACTAAATTCTTGTTCGTGTAGTGCCTATCCGTTTCGAATGTTGGCGACCATCATGACAGTCTGTATTTTGGAAACTGCGGCTCTGAAAAGATTTATGGTTGTTGTGTTGAACCACGTACGTACATTTTTCAGCCAGGAAATTCTTCGCCTTTCTGGTCCTCGTTTTCCTTCTAGTTTTAGTTGAAGAATTAGTTGTAGCAACCCATATCTTTCGCCAACTCTTTTCCTTTTTGCATTCTTAATAAGACGCCCTGGTTAGTAACGTGGTATAGGATATGTTACCGACATGGTCGGTATAGGATATCTTCAGGATTCTACGATAAAGCCACATTTCGAAAGCATCAATTTTCTTACAGGTTGCGTCTGTGAGAGTCCATGACTCAACTCCGTACAACAATATAGGAAAGATATAACATCGTAGTAACCTGATTTTTATGGGTACTGATAAATCGTGGCATTTGAATAGCTTAGCCATTTTTTGAAATGCAGATCTTGCTTTCTCTATCCTAGATTTTATTTCTAGGGAATGGTCCCAATTTTCATTGACGTTCGTATCAAGGTAGGTATATGTTTTTACTCTTTCTATTGGTTGACCATTCACACTGATTCTTTTAATTTACTGTTCCTTCTTAGAGATCAATGTACATTTTGTTTTCTTAATGTTCAGTGAAAGTCCATATCTCTGACTCACTTTTGTGATTATATTCATTAACTCCTGAAGGGCTTCATAACTGTCAACGAATACCACCGTGTCATCCGCGTATCTGATGTTATTGATACATTCTCCGTTAATTTGAATTCCGGCTTCAACATTTTCTACTGCTTCTTGAAATATTTCCTTAGAGTATATTATCTTAAACAGCAAGGGTGATAGTCCCTGCTGGACCCCACGTTTGATTTTGATATCGGATTCTCCTGCCTCCCTACATATAGACGATATTTGATTCCAGTAAAGATTGTTAATAATTCTTATATTACAGGTGTTTATTCCAATATTGTTAATCAGCTTGTCGTATTTTACTGTATCAAATGCTTTATGGTAATCAATGTAATCAATGAAGCATGCATAAATATTGCAATTCACATCTCTACATCGTTGAAATAGCACTTCTATGCTAAAGAGAGCCTCTCTCGTGCCCACTGCGTTCCGAAAACCAAACTGTGTACGGCTGAGTTTTTTTTCTGTAGAGTAAGGGAAACCAACCCTTACTCTCATTAATAAGTGTAAGAATAGATTAATATATTTAATTGATCTATTTACCTACATAGGAACACGAAAGTATATCAAGGTTGTAAACATGTTCCTTAGCTAAATTAAATTAAAGCTATTAAATTAAATATCATATTACACGATCTATGTATATAAACATGGCCTTGTTTAGAGAAGTCCATGTTTAACAAATATTATAAAGCAGGGAACATAATTCAATTAGTAGAGATATGTAGAGATTGCTGACATTGATGTAGCATTGCTGTAACGCGGGATTGTTTCAACCCAATTTGGGTATGACTGTAATTTTTAAATTTGTTAAATAAAATACAAAAGTATCCATCTGTAGTTTTGAAAGTTTAACATGGAAAATCATTTCCCTTAAAGTGGAAAGGGCCGGACATCACACTTCGCATAATCTATATATCCTTTGATGTATGATTATTAGAAATAATTTTAAAATGTGGCTCATTAAGCTGATGGCCCGGACATCATTGCAGGATACGGATTTTGTTTTAATTGGTAGAGCAATAAACGTTGACTTCAGCCATGATCTTGGTATTACTCCGTTTACATATAATATGTCATTGAATATCTTTGTTCGTAGTTGAGTACAGTTGGTGTTAAATTGCTTTATGAGTTCAACATATGCATTGTCAGATCCAGGAGCTTTTCCATCTGTTAGTTGTGATATTACTTTTTCGACTTCATCTGATGTGATTGGTATGTGGTCGTTACATATGTAGGACGCAGGTTGTTCAGACCTATTATCATTTGCTAGCTGTGTTGGATTTTTGAAGACCAGCTGCTCGTTTTACTTTTTTATGCATATTAAATTTATCGTGTTTTTGTTCCAACAACTCTATCTCTTCACGCTGTGTTGTGAAGAGATATAGTTTTAAAATGTGGCTCATTAAGCTGATGGCCCGGACATCATTGCAGGACCCAAGTATACAAACGTCTTGGTCGTAGTTTGAAGAACGTATTTAGTATTGCAAATTCTTCTTCCTCTATAAATAGTTTTAATCTTTCTCCCGTTTCAATTAATTCACCCCTTTTCCCTTTACCAATTTTCGCGTTCAAGTTACCCATAATAATAGTTATATCTTCTTTTTTAATTTGTTTAATTTAAAACAACTCATAGAATTGCTCTACCTCTTCTTCTGGTTTATCGCTGGTTGGGGCATACACTTGGTTGGTACAACATTTAATTTGACCGGAGTAGTATTCAGTTGGATTATTATTAATCTTTCAGAAACAGGTGTAACATTTGTAACATATTGACGTAATTGAGAAGATACGATTACTCCAACCCCATACATATGTTGACCGACATCATTTCCCGAGTGGTATACCATATGGTTATCAACAATACAAGCACCACTATTTGGTCACTTCATTTCGCTTATGCTCATTATACCTACTCCAAGTCTGGTCATTTCTTGAAGGGTATTTTTGTAACGATATATTTTGCTTACCTCAGGGTAAGAACATGGGGATAGAGGATTGGGCAAACAAAATAATCGTAACTGATGCGTACGACACTCAGGGGGTTGTTGGAGAGCTGGGTCGTGGATAAGTTGAACTAAATGGGTCAGATTGGGGTATCTACAAAATGAAAACAAAGGGATACTTACATAAATCTCCTGGAACAAAAACGAAACAAGATATGGCAGACAAGGTTACCTCTAGCTATTTTTATTCGGACGCCGCTTCGAAGAAAACTTCCTGCTGGAAAACAGAAAATTTCTTCTTCCCTAAAATCAAGAATACATACAAGGGTGAGGAGACTTTTCTAAATTAAAACAAAAAATGGATAAAAAAAAACAAATCATACGTTTATTTTTGTCTCAAACAAATAGTTATCAAAAATACAGATTGTACAAGAAGCATACCATATATCATA